TGATTGATTGATTAGTGGGGGCGGGGTTCCCCCCCCACCCCCCACAGGCGCACACACACAAACACACACGTAGTATTATATATTTCCATGTTCTAGCGGAAGATTCATTCGACTTTGATTTTTTTTTTTTCGTTGATTGATTGAGTGGTGGGAGAGGGGTCGCCCCACCACCCCGCCACCCACCACGCGCGCGCACACACACACACACACACACACACACGTTCCCACAGAAATATAAAAAGGCCCCGGAAAAAAAAAGATATATATATATTTTTGAAATTTTTTCATCCCTTGATTGTTTCCTTAGGAAAAAAAAAAAAAAAAAAAAAACCCGTAAAAACGGAAAATATAAAGAACTGCCAACCAAAAATCCTCCCCCCCCAATAAAAACTTCTTTTTAAATTTTCTTCAAAGTCTTCTCCACGTTTTCTGTTTTTGATTTTTTATAATTCTAAAAATTTATCTATTTCAAAAAAAAAAAAAATGGGGTTGTAGGGATTAAAAATCCCTACAACTTTTTTTTTTTTTTTTTTTTACCCATTATTTAATTCAGGAAAAATGTGGTAAATTCACGTCCGCGGCGTGGGCGAGGTCAGCCGTCGACGAGGCCGTATATATGGCCGCCCTCCGAGCTCGACCTCGCGGACGCGTCCGTGGGTGTTTCGTAGCGCATCATTGGTTCAACACATACGTTTGGACTGATCTTCCGACGTTCGAACATAACTTCCTGAATCGTTTCGATTACATTCATCCAGAACAAGGTTTTTTTATGATCAAGGATAGAGTTCAAAAACCACTCGAATCCGTCACGGTCACTAAATATCGCAATCAGTTTTATCAGATGTTTGTCAAAACTGAGCGGGGAGAGCAGGTAGGAAGAGACTTGTTTATCGACGGGATCCGCAGTAGGACAATGAGGGTGGAACTGGGAAAACAATTGTCCTCCATTAACCACACACTGCAACAGATCATGGCAGCCGCGGAAGAGAAGAAATGAAAATTCGCCGTGAGCTTCGTGGAGGGAGAAAACTATCCTATGGAGGGGGATTCGTCTGAACTAGCTAGAGCCAAGGCAGAACTTGCTGCGCTACAAGATAAATTCGAGAACATGGGATTCGTGTCCGGTTTGAACACCTATCTGGAGTACATTGTACCTAAACGGTCGGCCCCCAGCGCAATCACAGGGGTACCAATTCCAGTGATGGTTGCTCCTCCATCCCCGTCCGAAAGTCCTACACGATCAAGCGAATCTGCTGCAATACTGGAGCTAACCAAAATATTAGTCGGTCTGATACCGGAAAGCAAGAAGGAACAGCGAGAGCACAACGCCAGGATAGAATCGTCAATGAGATCGATGCGTCCCATTGCAGTAAGAGTTGCGCCAATACAACCAGAATTGGCCCCGGTCCCGGCGACAGGCAGGGCGGCAGGCAACCCGAGCGTTTGCTACACGTGTCACCAAGCTGGACACATAGCCCGGGATTGTCCCCATCGGCCCACGCAAGCTTAAGTCGGGGGCGCACCGGTGGCCGCGGCACCCATCGCTAATGGGTCAGGAAGAGTAGGAACGATGTTGGAAGAAATGGAAGGAGGTGGGAGTGCGCTAGCTACTACTGAGGAAGCAGCAAAACTTACTCCTCTAGACCTGTACGTAGCATTAGGATATATGGGGTTAGAGACCGGCAAAAAAACAGCGAGAGGTGGCGGAATGGAGACCCTCTGCAGGGGAGATGAAGTCTGGAGGACCCATCTTTGTCACTGGGGAAATAGACGTCCTAAATATCGTCCGCGCCCTGGACCATCGCATTCCCCTCCCAATCGCACATTTTTTATCCATCTCGGAACAAGCTAACGAGCGCATGTTGCAACACTGCAAGGCAAACAGAAAACGATTCGCCCTTGCGAGAACGGCGAACACGAAAGGAAAAACCCCTGTCCAAGAAGACAACCTGAACCCCGTTAGTACATCGGACCCTATACGAATGAGACTAATACAGAAAGATGATCACTTTCTGTGGATCAAAGCGATTCCGTGGAAACCCGAACCCCGTATAACGTCATTATCGACTCAGGAGCCACCGTCCTGGCTATCTCACTAAGGGTAGTGGAAAGAGTGGGAAGAAGAAAAGATCTGGTTATGCTAACAGAAAATGATCATCTCGTCTCTGCATATGAAGAGAAAATCAGAACAGTGGGACGAATGACCAACGTTGCTTTTAGATTGGGAAAGGTACATGCCCTGGTAGATGTAGTGGTATTAGATGTAAACACGTACGCTGTTCTTTTGGGACTGCCCGCTCTCACGGCGCTGCGGGCCAACCTAGATTTTGAAAGATGATCGATTGTCCTCCGGAATACAGGAGGGAAACCATACGTCATCCCTATGAGATTGACTCTCAGAACAGTGGCAGAAGTAACCCGGAAAACTTCCCTGATGCCCGGAGGAACTCTCCGAATGATCACTTGGAAGAAACTTGTGGAACGCAGTGATCACCGAACAGAGGAGCCAAACCTCTCGGGTGACACTGATGATAGCAATGAAAACGATTTAGTGATTCGGGAGTTAGTGCAGCAACACATCCGCTATCCAATTCGACAAACAACCACGAAAACGTTCAATCTCATGGAAGGGAACATCCAGAGAACATGTGCATTAATTTTGGCGAACCACGAGTGCAGATTTCTCGGATGGCTGATTCTTCGGAACCCCCTCGGACCTTATACGAGGGCACTACTCCGCTGCTTTCGAGATACAGGGATAAGGAAGCTTTCCTCGATATAACGGAGCTACCCCGTTCCCTTTTGCCTTCACGGAAAGAGGTAAGAATGTTGAGACTAGGGGCCGAGGCCGAGGCTTTGGAACCCCCTGCGCGTCACGACACAGGACACCACAATCTCGGGGTCAGGATCGCGGAAAAACCAGTACGATGGCAGGATATTCGCGGCGGCGTAACCCCAGAGGATCACGTGGAGATCCGAGAGGACGAGGCCCAAATGATGGCCACGGTGTCTTCCTGGCGATCAGACAATTCATTCATATCCGCGCCCCCGCTCGAAAACACTGACGACATCAACACGAAACAGATTACCATTTAGATACTAGGCCAACTCTATTAATTGCATGTACCATATTACTTACCCGACCAGATTCACCGTCTAATCGCAGAAATTCTAAAGGAACATCAGGGAGCAATCAGTGTGACGGACACGGATATCGGGCTATCATTAGTCATTCAACATGAGATTCAGACCGGAAATCATCCTGCGATCCACTGCAAACCGTAAAGGTGTTCCTTTGCGGAACGAAAGATGACCTTACAAAGGATTAGGGAATTCGAAACTAATGGATGGATTGAACCAGCCACGGGACCGTGGCCATTCCCCGTAGTCCTAGTACCGAAGAAAAACGGGTCGATTCACATTTGCATCGATTATCGCAAACTGAATGACATCACGATCAAGGATGTGTATCCCCTTCCCCGGATTGACGATTTGCTTGACGCAATTGGGTGTGCTAATTATTTTAGTAAGTTTGATATTTGTCATGGGTTCCATCACATCCTGGTTAAAAAGGAGGACCGGCCAAGACGGCTTTTGTCCTGTTTTAAGGCACCTGGCAGTGGGTTCAACGCCCGATGGGGATCTGCAATGCGCCGCCGACGTTTCAGAGAGCGCTGAATGTAACATTCCAAAATTTCGTCAACAGGACCCGACTTACTCAAGGGATGATCATTTTTTGCGTTATTGTGTATATGGACGATATCTTGGTCCACTTAGAATCGTTCCACGAGCCCGCGCAACATGTCGAGTGGACACTGGGAGCCCTACGGGATGCTGGATTCAAGATTGCGCTGGAAAAAAGTGAGTTCTTTCTTTCAGAGATCTCATTCCTAGGGTACGTGGTAACTCGGGGAGGTTTGAGGCCCGATTCGAGAAAAGTCGCGGCCGTTGACGCATGTTCGAGCCTTCCTGGGACAGGCTTCATACTATTGTCATTTTATCAAGGGTTTTGCCGCTATCGCACGACCCCTAAGAACTTATTGCTGAAGGGTCAGCCCCTCAACTGGGACGCGGAGTGTGAACGAGCCTTCAGCGCTCTAAGGGAAGCCCTAGCTACGGCGCTAATTTTGATTCAACCGGACCTGGCCAAGCAATTCATACTCATCACAGATTGGCAGCCTGAGGCAATCTTCGTCATCATAGCGCAGAAGGCGAACGACGACCGCGAACACGTCATCGAGTACGCATCTCATACCGTGCCGGATGAGAGGAGGAATGATTCGGCTCCACAAGGGGAGTGCTACACAGTGGTTTGGGGAATTCAACACCTCCATCTGTATATGTACGGACAAAAGGTTCTCCTCGTCACAGACCACGAGCCCTTGTTGGCTCTCAAGAGACTCACTAATTGCACGGGCATGATTGGGTGCTGACCAGTACGGCTGCAAAAATATAATTTCGACATTGTCCACCGGAAGACGGAGAGACACGGGAACGCAGACGGATTGACACGACTACACCGCCCGACAAAGGTGGCTAAAGGCGAGGAGATCAAGAGAGAACCGGAACCAGTCAATGGGCCTTGATACGGACAAGTGGTCATCCTTCCTCGAGCTCCTAAGGGGTAATCGACACGATGGCGATGGGGCGCGAAGGTAATCCCGAAGGTCCCCCTTCCCCTCTCTCGTCCTCCTCCTTCTCCTCCCTCCCTGATAAATTTTGCTACTTTTGTGAAGCAATTTCGAGAGTCTACTCGGTCCCTATGGGGTCGAGTGGGGAAGGTTATGTCGAATGGGTAGATTATCAACGATGCGTTTCCCGAACCCACGATTCTTGTATCTAGTACCGGAATACCGACAAGCCCTGGTTGTGTCCCCTGTGTCACACAGATAAAATCCCGACTGAAGCTCGATTTCTCAAAGCCACGTCTGAAGGGCTAGAGAAAACCCGACGGTTTATAAGGGTTGAAGTATGGACATATGTCGTCCTGATATCTACGGTAGTAGGGAACTCCCTCCGAGACTTCACAAAGGAAGACTTGAGACGGGCCAATGAGAGGGATCAGGATTACCAATGGAATGAGGGACGGTTAGAAAAACAGAAAACGGACGGAAGCGGGATTTGGATGCCTGTCCCACATCCGTTCGTAAGGTATGACGAAGTTAAGTCAGCCCACGAGGAGACTGCGGCCCATTTCGCTATCCGAATCACGGAGGCGGCGATTGATAAAAATGAGTGGTACTGGTCCAACATTCACGACAACGTTAAGTTCATCGTCCGAAATTGTCAGGTTTGCGCTGCTGACAAGGCGCCGATTCTACCGCCCAGATCGATAGTACCTAGAGTAGTTGAACGGCCGTTCCAGAGGGTTAGTATAGATACCACGGATATTGTCGTTCCTCCTGGACCGAATAGCTGCGAGTATTCAATCCTTTTGGTTTTTGTAGATCACTTTTCGAAATGGATCGAGGCGTACCCATGTTAACGTGACAGGCGGCCAAGATCGCATGATACGTCAACCGTTTGCTCGGGATGCACCAGGACACCGAGGAGATCCTGACGGACAATGGGGCAAAATTTAGAGGAGAAGTCTTGAGGAAGCTAATCCTACACGGTGTCTCTATCCGCAATACCGCTCCCCACATGTCGCAATCAAACGGACTGGTAGAAAACGCCAATCGAGTGATTAAGACCGCTCTACGACGCAACATTGCGGCAAATGACACGAGGCCTTGGCCCGATATCGTAGACCATATCCTAGCTATCCACCAGGGGACACCCCACGAATCCATGGGGCTGACCCCCCTCCAACTACGGACCAATAGCCTACCCTGTATAGCCTTACCAAGCCTAAATGATGAAACGGTCCTTAAGTGACGAACCACTAGGGCGACGATTAAGAATGAGGCCCACCTCCACCTAGAACTGATGGAAAGAGTCCTCCCCCGACTGGCCCGAAAAAGACAACGAATGACAGAAATGGCCCACGGTAGATAGGTTCGGAATTATGAGGCCCGAAATGGGAATGCTGGACCTCGGCCCCAGTATAAATTAGGGGACATGGTGCATGTGAGGAAATGCTCTCGCCAAGGCAAGCTAGCGCCACGACTCTTCGGGCGATTTCGCGTGGTAGAGCTAGGTTCAAGTGGGGTGAACACGGTACGGTTTGCGCGGGAGGTGTCGGGAAGCCGATCGGCTTATCCGATCATTCCACACGTGTCCTACCTTCGTCCTCTCCCTTCTTCCCCTTCTCCTCCTTCGTCTGCATCGTCCCTCGGCCAAGACGAGGACGACGACTCTCTAGAATCCTCCTTCCCCCCGCAACCGTCGTCTTCGACGCCGCCTCCATCGCCATGAGTTTTTCGACGGAGCAGGTGATCAACAAGCATTTGATGACTGCGAGGGGGCGTATAGCGACAATCCGCCAAGTGCAGCAGCCTCCGTTGAGCCCCGATCTTCTTCGATTTGCAGCCTTTTTCAGCACATCGGTCATCCACACGGCAACGGAGTTCCGTTTCGTACACGCGGGAGTGACACGTGTACTGGCCGAGATTTCGACTTTCCTACGCATGTCCCTGCCCGACATCAACCACGTATCCGTCATCGTCACTTTCACGAGTGATATCACGACGCCGCACCCGACGGTTCATGCGGACGTCTATCGGTAGTTGAGGGGTTGGGTCGAGGAGATCACAGCCACGTGGGTCGAGTTGCTGGCTCGGCAGGGGGAAAGGATCGTGACCACAAACGACATAGACCTCCGCCTCCACACCTCCAGCAGCGCGCCGGAGATTCTTCTTCCAGAGCTTCTCCCCTTTGAGCGGCCTCAATGAATTGTCATTGCTTATCCCTCTTCAACCTCCCGTCTGATCTCCCCACTCCCCTGCAATCTGCTCTCGACCCGGCCCTCGGGAGCTTAGCGTGCTAATCTTAGACGAAGGCAAGTGGACCAAGTGGTGGGACGCCTACTTGGAGCTCAACTTCTGTTTGGTGTGTTTCATTGGGCGGAGCCAGCGCTTGAGGCTGAAGGGGGTGATGTCCTGGACGACAAGGTAGAGTTGTTAATCGTGCAGGGTGGAGGACGGTCATTTGGATGCAATCACCGACGAGTTGTTGGTGTTCTTGGTGCAGCTGGTGGACGAGTTGCCCCTCGATATTCTGTCGAGGTGTGACGAGAAGTCGGGGACGGACGTGCTCACTCGCACACTTGCGGCATATCTGTTGTGGTCCACGTGTACGGAGTTGGACGGAGATAACTGCATTTACCCGTCCCCGAGCCTCTATTTCGAGATTGACGTCACCAATCTCACACAGTGGGATCCCTTCATCCAGCGAGGGAACGCAATCGAAGCCAACTACGAAGAAAAAGAAGAAGGAGAAGAGTCGGAGGAAGAAGAATTGGGCACTAATCAGGACGATCCCGACTACATTGGGTCAGAGGAAGAGGAAAGCGGATCGGAGGAAGGCGGAGCGCAAGAGCCGAGCGTCCATCCCCGGCGAAGCAGGGAAGAGGAGAAGGTTGAAACTCAGCGAAGGCGAGAGACAGCGGAGGGCAAGCGGTCGGTCAAATAATCTGAAGGACCGCCACCACAACTGCTGTTGGGCGATCAGTGGTTGAATCTGGAGCCGCTACGCGAGGATTCCAATGGAGCCGCGACAGAGGGATCAGGAAGCCGACGCTGCAGAAGAAGGGAATCCCTGGCCCCGTCTTCTTCGCCATCACAAGCCACCCTCGGTTTCGTGGAAATGCGGGCGATCGGGGTTCGTCCCCGGTCGTTATCCCCTCGTCCCTTTGACTTCCTCACAACCCACCAACTCCTGGGTCGACCCCCGTTCCCTAATGGATGGTGCCCGTTCCCGCCCACTCTCTTCCACCAGTTTTACTCCACCCGCCTTATCGCCACCGTTGTCACACATGCTACCACCCGTTCCTTCGTCGCCTCCTTCCCTCTCCATATCCTTCTCTTCAATGCGACATGGCATAAATATAATAATATAGAAGTTTATTGTATCATCTCGGGTACAATTCCCGCCTGTGAAAATTATGAGAGCTTCCACACTGCAATCCCGCACACCCTCTCCACTATCTACCCCGACTATCTCGCCTCTCTCCCTCATCAACGCGCTGCCGAGCGCATCGGTCCGACACCACACAGGGCAGCGTGGGACCCTCCCGGTCGCATCACGCAGGAGTTGGTTTTAATTCTCGTCGCAAATATACATGGAACTTCCGCAAGCCGCTCTGGCCGAGTGCGCCAGCCATACCTCTTGCGAGCCCCTACGACAGGAGAGGGCCTACGCAAGGCATGACTTACCTCCACCTTAGGGGAGCTGTCACCTCCCTTCGGTGGGCGTATCCCAGTCGAGCTACCAGTCCACAGTACGAAAGTTAATCAGCTGCAATCGTAGAGGTGAACCAGCCGAGGGCGTTTCTCATTCGCTGTAGCATAGGGGGTACGCGCGGTAATACGCCTGTATCGGACCCGCACGCGAACCGACGCTTTGGTGGGCTGAGGTCCCAAGCGCGACTCGTCGCCGGTCGACTAGGACGCATCCCACACGCCGCGCGCACACCTATATAAAGAATATAAAAATAAAAAACACCCACGCGTACACATACATATACAAAGCTGACAGAGAACAAACAATGCGACAACACTCCTAGTCCCTTAGTAGCGATCCCATAACTTTTCGATGCAGAAATCAGATAGGCGTCGCGCGCGGGACTTAGTGTAAATCCGCGCAGACGCAGGGCTAACTCATATCGACTCGCAATGCAAGCGTACGCAAGCGGTCGCGATGATGGCGTATTATGGAGTACCCACACTCATGAGGTCCTCGTTAATCTCGAGGGTCGCATTCAACAATCAAGTGTCGGTTGACATGCGCCTTGAGGGTTAGTCTCTCGACGCTGGACAACCGCCAAGTGCGGTTGAGAACCACACCCTCCTCTGCACCATACGGAGAGTGGGTGGTACACAGGTTCATACCTGTGTTGGCAATCGTCTCTTATCGCCCTGGAGACTAGCTCTACCATCCAGGGTCTGGAAAGAAGTCAAGGGGTTTGACTTTGACAACTGCCATGGACTCTAACGTCCAATTATAATCAGATATCGAGATAAGACAAAAGAAGGGGGAAACATAAACCCATCAGGTATGCAGATCGTGCGTCACATGGTTGTCATTCTCAGTGCCTCCAAAGTATGACCCATATACCAAGCTCCGAAATACTGACCTGCATAAAACACAGACACACAGCCCAGTGGTTACAGCACCGGTTGGAAATGCACATTGTGGTCTGAGGTTGCGGGTTCAAATCCGCAACCTCGTGCATATGTCGCCGTCACTGCGTTAGGTTGACGCACTACCACTCACACACTGAGCGCGCACGCTCCCAGGGGCCCGGATGTACATTGGGGTACAACCGCTCAACACTGGACTTGGGGAGCCACCTGCAAGGGTGCCCACTAGATGCTGACAACCCAACCATACTTCCTGGGTCCCCGCAACGGTTGAGCGCGTGCCTCCCCTTGGGGTTGTCGAGGCCATGGGGGGGGAGTGGCTCCGGGAGGGGCAGGCTCAGTTGGCGCGTGCGGGAGGAGTGAGGGGGTCGACCCTCGCCTAGCAGGGACAGGCGCGTCCCTGTAGCACCACGGTCGCTGTGGTGCTTACGCCTCCCGGCCGTGGAGCCGCAGGGAGGTGAAGCCGTGAGTGGGTGCTGGGTGACCCCCGACGCATCCGCCTGGTAGCGCCGGTCTGGGCGGAAACTCCCGGGTGGGTAGCGAGGATTGTGAGTCCCCTCCTTGACAGATCACTCGGTAAGTGGGTGGGCCCGCTGCACCATCAGTAATGCTGACCCCGGCGCGGAAAGCCCTCTGGCGGACATCCTCCCTGGGTCATAACCCCCGACACCTCTACAACCCTTAAAAAAAAAAAAAAAAAAAAATAGCCACATTGCCATCCACCAATGTGGTCAACTTTACTTTTCCCTGTAACTCACACTACGCCTCACACACCCAAGCCCCATTCATAGTCCAACTTTTCATAAATCTCATAAGTTCTTTATAATGGCCATTTAAAAAGAGCTCGGTTAAAACCCTCAAAGAAACATATCAAATCTCAGGGCTAAGGCAATCAGGTTCAGGTACAGGTGTAAGCAAAATTGTGTCGTGAGCCGACGAGTCGGCAATCAATCAACCGACCTGTTATAAGCGATAACAGAAAATGATCGTCGTAGGATCAAGCTGAAACCGGTTCAAATCCTGGATCGAATGTAAACGAAAGAGAAGGGAATGATACGTATACAAACGAGAGAGAGAGAGAGAGAGAGAGAGAGAGAGAGAGAG